TAAAACCAGCGACAGGCATTTTAAACTGTTCAATATGTCTTGTCATTTTCAATTGTTGAGTTCCGTTTTAAGAAAAGTTGTATTAGGAAGTTAACATTATATATATCCAAAATAAATTACAAATACCACAATTCTGACTTGTCATACACATCTCTACCGCAGCATCACTCGAAATACTACTAGACGAAGAATATCATTGATAATCGTAAGATTTCACGGGTTCAGTAATATCCCACGCCCCCAAATCCCTGATTCAATGCACCATAGACTGAGGACGAAATTCGAAAAATAACCTAGAATTAACTTAAGGGAGGATGGAATGACACCCATAAGCTTTGACCCATACTGAAGCCATTAAAGCCCCCCCCCCCGTTGAAAAATGTATTTAATCTGTTTTTGTATAATATAAAAAAATCATTAACTTAGTCTGGCGATTTTAAAGTTTTGGACCCCCCCCCCTATAAAAAAAAATCGCCCCTGCAAGTAAATAAGCGATAGCCCGCGGCCGGATAGTTTGAGGGTTGAAGATCTGGAATACATATTTCAAAGACATTTTATGATGATCCGTGCTTATTTAGGTAGTGTTTTCAGGCTAAATATGGTTGTTCTATTGAAATACATATTTATAGCATCATATTTGGGCATAATTTGTCATTTTTGACCAAAAATGAATGTGAAAAATGATGTTCCCTTCGACTTTTGAAAATTTTGTTAAAACCATGTACAAAGGCAATTTAAACAAAAATACATATTCTACTGTCATTTTATGGCTTACGTTAGTATTATTTAGCAGGCCGTGGTACTGTAATAGATAACACTTTAAGAATAAATGTTCAAATCCTACCTTAGGCTGAACTCCAAAAGGGTCGACCCCTACCCTTGAGTGTGCCACAGACTCAATGGGAAGGCCAATTCCACTGGCTGAGATTCATTCACTAACGAATGCGACTTTGGGGCAACCTTGGTTAAGGTCCGCAGGTGCTTGTCTTCGACCAAGCCTGGTTGACACCAGGATAGCGCATTACAATTGCCATTGGACAGAGAGATGGCCACACAGTTCTGCCATGTAGTCCCAAACATGAAATGACTTCTGTGGCAAAATGCACTATGCACTAGCATTTTGCACATACAAAAAAGTCAGGAGAGACAACAGCGACACTCAATGTTCAGAACTGTCGCCTGGCACAGAAAAATTAATTAAAAATAAAAAAATGAAAAAAGAATAAATGTTACATCATCATCGATCATGATTTAAATACTGATCTCAGTGATCATAATGAAAAATTATCTTTAAGCGGTACGGCCAAATATCACAAAATCGATACATAATCGGTTGAAAGAATTATACAATATCGATAATTTTTAATGTATGTCGGTTTTATTTATTTTCTGTCTCTAACTGTTATTTTCTAATGTAATATTGTATCCCCTTGCTCCAAATTGGCAACTCTGTTTTGCGTAAATATTTCTTGACTTTTCAAAATCTGACTGTTTTTCCTCCATCTTCCTCCTTCTGAGACTCTAGAACGTCGTCGTTCTTCTATTTTTTTATTGCCATCCAAAGCTAGACGGACATAGAGTTGACAATCTTTTTCGGAGCTACACATAAAAACATTGGCATAGTTTGAGTGTACGTATTTATTGATATGATTGTATTGGTTTGTATTTCAGTGAGTTTTTATGGCAAATGACAAATTATCACGCAAGTGCTCTTGTCATTGTGCTTTTGTGTTACGTCGTCTTTAAATCTCTAAATGGTTAGACTGCCAATCATGAATTTTACGTGACATGCATAAGACAACCACATATTCATTGATTTGTTACTACCACTGTGATTACTCCGTACTTTATCCTCAAATCACATATGGATTTCTATGAGTTAAGCTCATTGGTTATTAGATAACCAAAGGGATGACGTGGTGGAAGCTCATTGGATATTGGATAACCAAAGGGATGACGTGGTGGAAGCTCATTGGTTATTAGATAACCAAAGGGATGACGTGGTGGAAGCTCATTGGATATTAGATAACCAAAGGGATGACGTGGTGGAAGCTCATTGGTTATTAGATAACCAAAGGGATGACGTGGTGGAAGCTCATTGGATATTAGATAACCAAAGGGATGACGTGGTGGAAGCTCATTGGATATTAGATAACCAAAGGGATGACGTGGTGTAAGCTCATTGGATATTAGATAACCAAAGGGATGACGTGGTGGAAGCTCATTGGATATTGGATAACCAAAGGGATGACGTGGTGGAAGCTCATTGGTTATTTGATAACCAAAGGGATGACGTGGTGGAAGCTCATTGGATATTAGATAACCAAAGGGATGACGTGGTGGAAGCTCATTGGTTATTAGATAACCAAAGGGATGACGTGGTGGAAGCTCATTGGATATTAGATAACCAAAGGGATGACGTGGTGGAAGCTCATTGGTTATTAGATAACCAAAGGGATGACGTGGTGGAAGCTCATTGGATATTAGATAACCAAAGGGATGACGTGGCGGTAGGCCAGTCGTCATTACCAACCAAAACATGGGGTTTTATGAGCAGTTTATTACGGCGCCTGCATGCTATACAAACTGTTTAGTACATTGTTGTAAAATTGACATTAATCACATGGTTTATTAGCCGTCCTTAAAAATAACAGGTAAATACCGCCTAAAATTTGTTTTCTTGAGAACCAAGACAATGTTGACGTGGAATTGTGGCATATATGTACCAACTACATTACAATCAAACTTGATCATAATAATTAGTCACATGGTTTATCGCATCTATCAGCCAAGTTCATTATTAATATCTGACAAGTTCATCATGATAGGACACGTCTTGATTTTTAATTTAATGCGAATGAAAGTCTCTAAGATTTTAGAAACTATTATCATAAATCAAAGTCGCAGTTCCCTGGACACAAATGAAGCTGAATTTGCGTGTAAACCCTAGGCACTCCGCGGGCATGTGTTTTTATGATATGATAGAAATCAAACTATTATTACTTGTATAATAGTTCCGTATATGCATGTTTATGGATCCTACCAACTTGAAGGCTGATCCTGTCAACTATTGGTCCCTGTTCAAAAAGTTGCTCGACAAGGGACTATTAAAATTCTACTCCATGTTCTGTTGGAATCTGCGTTCGTCGAGCATTATTTCACCTTTGCTTTTTCAATGATGACCTTAGTATTCATTTAAGGTCATCTAAAGAAAGTCATTACGTGACTAGGGTGTTTTATCAACCATCTTATATGATGCTGCTGATGTGTTTGATCACGCCCATCCGCCGAATTTAAATTTTGCTATTGTACACATGTACAATGCACTATTGGAGAGAACTTTCGATTGAATGTAAAGAAAAACTAATTATCATGTCATTTTTTAAAACAATGTTACGATTTATATAAATAATAATATTATAAATATTCACCCCATATCACCGAGCAAAATTGTGTACATTTGAGGATAGTGTGATAGCGCACTCAAATGGACTAATTATCAGTCACTTTGTTTATTGGTCCCGGGTGCAAATCTGTCAAATCAGTTCAGCCATACTATTCGTAGCAGAACTAAAATGCATCACCAATAAAAATACCACCAATGATTACTGTATTTTGCCTTTCTGACAACCATTCATGTGATACTTGTGTATTTTAAAATTGTTTATGTTGATGACTGTTCTTGTTCAATTTGAACTGTTATTGGTCTGTTGTCAATATCGCCATTTTCGCAGGTCACCAATCAATAAAAGAGGTGTTCCTGTCTCAGACTGCCAGTCCCTGTCTGTGTGTTTTTGTCGTGGTAA